ATGTAACATTTCTTGTAATGTTTATCTCTTGTTACAAGGACAATAATTATTTGTTGTAATGTTAATGTTGATGTAATTTCAGTAGAAACACATCTTTTGAGGTGCTATTGTGAAATATTCACAATATAATATGCATACAGAATTGGCTGGATAACATTGTTTCAGGGACAGTGAAACCAGGGGAGGGTTTTTAGCCCCCCCCCCCCCATAAGTTGAAAATAGGCTCTCTCCCTGATATGTAAGATCTACATTGTGACATGTATGTCGATTGACCAGCTACTGCTGTTGTCCCCAAACTAAGCCCAGTTTTACTCCAGTATTCTATAAGAAAACAAGAAAACATTGTTTAATATGTAGACATGTAATTTTTCTATGCAAATATTTCAAGCACATGCGGATGTAAATATTTTTTATTCTTAACCAGTTATTGTTTTAAAACTTTTAACAACAAATGCAACAGCAACTTATTAGAAATGATTAGGAATATACAAATATGTTCTAGGGGTCAATAAATTAAATTGTTTCTCACATGATGATTTTTAGAGTTTAGCTTTGCCTTAGTTGATCAAACTCATGGGAGGCTCTGCTAATATCCTTACGAAGTGCCTTGGATTTCATTTGTTTCAGTCTAATCTTATGTTTCTGGATGATATCTTTCGCAAAAGAAAATGACGGCACTTTGACATACAATTGTATGATGTTGTGCAAAACATCTTTTGCAACACTACTGTTGATTATCAGTTGAGAATTGGATAACAGTGAATTGTATGCTGAGACAACTTCAACATCATGAACAGATCTTGGTATAATACTAGCAAAAGCTATATTCTGCACAGTAGTATTTGAAGTGGTATCCCTGAAATAATGTTCAGTTCTCTCAAAAATTAATTGAGCACTTTTTGTAATTGCCCACAAACCACCACGATTTAAGGATGAAGTTAACTTCTGGCATTCAATAGCATTCTGGTCTTCTAATTTGCCAGCCTTAAGGATGGAGATTGCCTGCTCACTTTCTGATGATTTACTGACATGCTTGGTATGAAGTTTATGAAGCACATAACTGCCAATATACTGTAGTCCAGCTTTTTCTTCATCTGAAAGTTTAGTTAATGGGGCGCAAGTATAAGTGCTTTCAATTTTCTCCTTGCTGTGTACCAACATACAATCAGCAACCTTGGTAGACAGTAGAGTAGCAGCGTTCCTTGATAATCCCTTAAAATGCTTAACTGCATTCAGAGCTATGGTTGAGTAGGAGCAAGAATAAAATCTTTCAGCATTTCCAGACTTTGTCAAGCGTTTATATAGGTCTTCAATGTCGCAGAATTCAGCTGGTATGTCCTGTAGACCGTTGTTGTGGGTGTAGCATCTTAGCTCGTCTCTGATTGTTTTTGGATAAATGTGGTTGTCAGCAATTTTGTGTTTAGCTTTCTCTACAATTCTTGAGTAAGCTACAAAAGTTAAATAGCTTTCTTGTCCTCCTTCTTTTTGCTTCTCAACATCTTCTCTCGTATCTCTGTGTTTAACTGTCTTGTGTCGTTTCAGTCCGCTCTTGCTTTTGCATTTCTTGTGGCACAGTTCGCACACAATGTCTTCGAGTTGAACCTGTTGTAAGAAAAAGTAACTTTCAGTCGAGAAATCAGTCATAAAACGATACTACAAAGTCTAGTTCTAAGCATAGATAATGGAAATAAGAAAATGCTTAATAATTACATCGTCAGTAAAGTACGCCATATAGTTATAAGAATTTAGTTATAACACAAGTCGCTACAAAAAAGCAGCATCGATGATACCCGATGACAGTCCATCGAGCTAAAAGACGATGAATGTCAAAGCACGGCGCTTTTCGCTAAATTTTGGGTCGCTAAGAAAGAATATAATACTTACTTCATCGGCAGCTTCTCTAAACTGTTCATCGAGCTCTTCTTCTTCTTCCAAAATACCTAGAATAGCGTCAACATCGTCTCCAAAGAAAAACAAATCGTTCGTGTCCGCCATATTGTCTTGGAATGTTGCACGGTCAATGTCACGTGATGGTGCAATTCAACCTCACAACCAGTCCCCTCGATTAACTATGCTGAAACTCGATAGATAATTATGAACTCAACCCACTTTTGTCATTTTTGGCATGCCATAGTATTCAGCAGATACTCCGTGACTTATCAATAAGTGAAAATTGCGGAAATGGCGGACGAATTGTTCTCCAGTCGTTTGGTTATCAAAATTGATGATCTGTTGAAAGTGCACAGAGTCGAGAAGCAACGAATTGAATTTAAGGCATCATGGAATACAGGCGGTACATCATGGCAAATCCTACACTCCATCACTGCATTTGGGAATGATTTCCTAAATGACAATGGTGGTTACATCGTTATCGGAGTTGAAGATGGACCTTCAGATGACGATCAAGTTCAAGTTTGTGGCGTACCCCAGCGGGATCTTGACAAAATACAGAAACAAATTCAAGCACTTTGTAAAGGAAACATCAGACCTCTATATTATCCCATACTTTCTCCTGAGATTTACAATGAGAAGCATGTACTTGTGATCTGGGCTACGGCAAGCGATAGCGGCCCTCACGAATGCAGAGAGAGCCCCAAGGGAGAGTTCCAGTTTTACATACGAAGAGGACCGCAAACTATTAAGGCTTCACAGGACGAAAAAAGACAGTTACTATTGGATCACAACAAAGCACCTTTCGATGACAGGATTGCTCGGCATCCAGGTAAGAAATCAATACTTTTCTATTCAATTCGAGTTATGAGTTCAGACTTTTAGTCTCGCCTTTTTTCCGAACGCGACATTACATAAACTCCAGGTTTAGAACTTTAGTTTCCAGTGCAAGAAAACGCAAATTTATTACTAACGCTTTCGTTGTTCCGCTTGCTCAGTCACAATTTGCGCCAAATATATAATTTGATTGACATACGGTCTGAAGCATGGTGAAAGCGCCAAATATATGATTTGATCAACATGCGTCTGAAGCATGGTGAAAGACAGACTGTATTATTGTGCTCTTATTAGAAAACCTAGGCAGTGCATTCTGTCTAAAGAGAGAAGTGATATGAAAACAGATTTCTGGTTGACGACGTCGACCTAAATGGTCGATTCCTGTGGTAAAGCTAATTAGATTGATAACGATGCTATGTTTTATACGCTTGTGGTCATGATGAGAAGTAAGTTGCAGTGCACAATGTGCACGGCGATACTTCCTTGGCCCTCGTCTAGATTATTTTGTGTGAACTAGTTCTAAGGCCCGCTCTTGTTTCTAAGTGTGGCGCTCTCGCTTCGTTTTCCTTCCGCACCGTAAAGATACAACTTACTATTTATAACAAGACTGGGTGCAGGGTCAGTGGTCTGTGAAGGAGTGAGGCTACCCAGGAGCATGTAGATCTTGTACACGGTTACATAACCTGTTAGGTATCTGAAAATCGAAGTTGATCAAACTTACTAATGCTTATAATTCAGTCATGGACCAGAAAGTCACGCTTAGCTGAAGCCAAAGAAATTGATTCTTCATGTTTTACAGACGGCGGTAAAGACCTGTCTGAGGACGACATTGATTCAGACCTCCTGCAAAAATTCCTAAAAGACATCGGGAGTAATATCCAACATCAAGATCTCGCTCATCCTAGACAGCTTTACAAAAATATGAAATTGGTAAAGGTGATCGCGCATACAGAGAAAGAAGGCAAACTAATCGAAAAATTAGTTCCTCGAAATGTGTCTCTGTTGTTCTTTAGTCAAACTCCTGATGAGTACTTCAGAGGAGCACAAACAGACATCACGATATACAATGCCGACGGTGAAATTACACAAGACATGAAAAGGAAGGGACCGATTGACAATCAGATCAGTAAGGTAATAGATTTCATTTTGATGGAAACCAAAGATGAAGAATCGCCATCTTTTGTTCAATATCCCAAGAAAGCCCTTCGAGAGGCAGTTGTCAATGCCTTCTATCACAGGGGATATGAATCAGAACATTGCGATCCCGTGAAAGTGCGTATTCACACCACTCACATAGACATCATAAGTTATCCTGGTGCGCATCCAAGCCTTAAGCCTTCACACTTCTTAGAAGACAGTGATTTTCCTCCAGTAAGGACAAGGAACAGACGAATTGGCGAGTTCCTTGTGAGTAAAAAGCTGGCTGAGGAGAAAGGGACAGGTGTAAGAACTATTTACCACACAATGAAAGGAAACGGAAATTTCACGCCTAAATTCCTGTTTGATGAAACGTACTTTTGCGTTCGATTGCCAAGACATCCCAATTTCATGGTGCGCGAAATTCTTCAATTAACAACCACGCTTAAAGGGAGGGGTGAGAAGAGAATGGCTATAGAATCACTTTTAAAATTTCTAGAGAGAAATCCAGGAATTCGATGCGATAGCTTGTTCCAGAAATTGATGGAGCTGCACGATAACGACAGGAATCATCCTAACGTTGAGAAGTACAAGGAATTTGTCACTGATCGCTTGGAACGAAAGGCTGCTTTGGCACCAGAGCTTGACGAATGGTCTAAAAACCCATTGGACATAGAGAAGGGTGTCCAAATCGTGAAAAGCCTTGTAAAAGAAGGTGCGACCGCTGAGGATCTGAGAAAAGCGACCAAAATTGCTGTCGACATTTTAAAAGAAGAGCATCTTGAACAACAATTAACCTTAGTGGCCAACCAGAAAGCGCACCAGCTTATCCAGGCAATGGGTAGTGTGGTCAAAACAGATGCATATCTGTCTTACCATTTTGCAAAATGTAAACTCACTTTATTTTCAACGAACACAAGAGCTAGGAGTTTAAAGGAACGATATGAATTTTCTTCCTATCTCACTGAAGCCAGAGACTGTGCCGACGATGCCGTGCGACTGACTAGTGAGGACAACAACCTCCATCTTGCGAATGGATTTCGCTTACTGGGATATATCCAATCACGACTCCGAACCTTAAAGAAGGCAACAATAGCCGACATTCAGAAGTGTTACGATGAGGCCAGAAGGTACAATCCAAAAATACACATTAATGTAACGTTCATACCGCCAGATTTAAGGGGCCGTTATAAAGTACCAGAATAGGACTCCATGCTTCATCGATGAACGAGAGAATACGAGCCTTTTAACTCATGTGACTACAATTTCACAAAAAGACCTAGAGATCTAGACTTAAAGGCTACCGCAGAAAATTAAGTCCTAAAAGTTAGGGGGGCTGTTTGGGTAATTGTTTTTTGAGCTGTCTCTACTTATAGCGTTAACTGTTTCTTCACATCAAAAATACCACCATGTCGCTTTTCTTTTGTTAATCACATCATAAATGAAAGGAAATCTCCAGGTAGTGTTGTTGGTAGCAAAGTTGATTCGCAGTGATATAAATAATGATTGAAAACTAAGGTTATAAGATAAAAGACTGGGGCCCACTGAATAGGAAAATATAACAAGGTATGGTCCGTTAAGATTTATTTCAGTAGGGAAGCTGTTCCTTTTAGCGTTGATTGACGGTGTGGAAAGCAATGTACCCTTTGATGCCAGTTTATGTTAAAACTAGATTTAATCACTTGTTAGGAGTCATGAAATTAGTGGCACTGCAATCCAACATTGCATTGTCATAGAGCTTAATAAAATAATTTTACACATAATGCATTAAAGATGTTTTTTTCTTTTGTTGTTTTATACCAAGCTCAGTTCTTATAAGGTGTTCACTGAAAAGTGAAGTGAAGTGAAGTGAGGTGGTGTCTGAAAAGTATATGCAGTAATAAATAAAACCTTTTGAGGGTTTTCCCCCCAAGACTATTGATGTACCCGCTAGTAAAGTCTCTGATAGAATATCGATAAAATAATGGTCTAACTCAACATACGGAGGAAAAGCCGCATATAACATCACATTTAAAGCCATAATTTCTGAATTATGGAAGAAATCATTGCTCAGTTACTCAAAGATATACATCCCCCTCAGATAAGGCCAGATTTGTGTAAGGTCAGGGGTTAGGGTGAACAGTGAACTAAAGAAGGCTTCTCTGGGTTGCTTGTATACATCAATCGATAATATTTACCCAATCTTTCATTCTACTTATGCCCTACGTGCCACAACACTGAACAGTTGACTACTTTAAAAAAAAAAAAAAATGCTGAAACCCCACTGAATATCATTTCATTCCTAAGTGTTGATATATTCTGACCAATAATTTATTCATACCCTTGCATCAACTAAATCACCTTCAGGTCCTTCAAGGGGACAGCAAAAATCTTGTTTTGACATGATAGATGGTCCAAGAAAGACTTGGATACCTTTTAACCATTTACCTCCTTATATCAGCACACACACTCTCCAAACTATTCTCTATAAATTTCCTAATGTACTGACAGAGATAATTTGTTTCACAATTAGATGATAGCCACTCTTTTAGGTAAAGGGTTAGTAAAAACAATTTTTAGCACCTCATATCACATCTGGTGCCTTATATCTACAAATCTCTTGGGGCAGATGGTCTATGATAAAAGCAGCTCTTACAAAAGATTTTTCTACTGTACTCCTATATATATTTTAAGTAATACTATTAAAGATGATCCAATTACGAAAATAACTACAGAATTTGTTTATGCCATTCACTTGCTGCATCACAACTTTATACCACAGCAGGTCATCCTTCCAGGTTGTGAATGTTCTGTCAACTCTAGAGTTGGCACCTCACCATCTACTGTTTGAGCAGAGAAAATAGATACAGTTAAAAAGGAAATTGGCCACAACAGAGTGAATCAAAAAAGCCTAGAAGTCTCTTGACTTTCAACATTCAGTTTTCTGAATGCTATCAATAACACAACATAACGTTATTTTTCATAACCTTATTTGATGCATGTATGTGAGCTAAGCACTACCTTTCAGTAATGATAAGACAATCTTGATTTTTGGGACTTATGGCCAGATTTGTGCCCTAAAAATGTGTATGTTTATAATCATAAGGGGCAATTATGTCAGGATTCTTTTTTAATCATCTTGTGGCTTTGTCCATCATCCTTTTAGAGCACTTAAAAGTGCCAAGCTTTGCAAGCTATAAAAAGGCCATTTTTTTATCCCAAAAGTGAAGAGATACCTTATTCCCTGACTAAAAATTCACTGAATCTAAGGGTGCCATATAAGCAATAAGGGCTTCTTGACATAAATACAGAAACAGAATTCCCCTGGCCTAAATTTTGATTCCTTGTGCAAGCTCAGAATTTTTCCCTGTCTCACCCTCATGACAAGATTAAAAAACATCTTTTTCTCTTCATTCAAAAGTATCATTACTACCAATTTTCCATTAAAACCACTTCATCTAATTTTCTAGGGGACCTAACCATACAAGGATGATTTTGTAATAATTTCATATGATAATAATTGTAACATTTAGAGGAGCATTCAATGGTACTTAAGAATATTTCCCACAACTGCTGTGCATCAACAGTACTTACCAAATTCTGACTCTTCTTTTGAATAGTCCTGGGCAAGTTCAAAGAACAGCTCCTCTGCAAAGAGAGCACCAGAACAAACATTCAAACACTTTGTGATAATGTCAAGTGTTTCCAGGAAATTGAAGAAAGTTGAATTTACATCTTAGAAGATGAATTTTGTTGGTACAAAGTCATTATTTGACTATTACATAATAAATGTTATTTGCCAGGCAGGAGGTCAGTATGGGGAAAACTGTGCCAGAGGTCTTGTACTTCCATGAGGACTGACTTAGGGTGGTAAATAACTTATTTATATTCATCTGCTGGTTTGCTTGTTTCTGCTTCACAGCAAATTGCAGGGGAAAAAATTTTCAGACCTAGGTCCAGGCATAAACTGCTGGACTTATTAGAGTGTATACATTAACCTCTGGGATTCAAGGATTCAAGACATTGGCTGCTAAAAAGGCCTCAGAAAAAAAATTATAATACCCAAGTTCTTGCAGTTATTCCAAACTTGTTTGCTACTAGAAACAGGGCTGGGGTAAACATCTGACCCAAAAGAATTTAAAATGATGCTTCCAAAGGATTTAGTTTCCAATTCCATAGTTTTAAATAAAACATTCAGGATCGAGTTATAGTTAATCTGAATTATAGTTTAAGATTGTCTGTGGCCAAAGCAGAAAATGGGATATCAAATTTCTGTGAAAAAGAGGGGAACTTGAAGAGTTTGAATTTCAAGGGAAATCTTATTATGTATTTCTGAGGAACAGAAGTGAAACTTACTTATCAACCCAGCCTTTAACTCCTATGAATGACCAAGAAAGAAATACTCCTTACAATATCAATATTTAATCAAGCAGGCAAGTAATGAGAATTGAGTTAAATTTCAAGTAGGGGATTATAAGTTGATCCAATACTAAATTCTCCAAACTAAAATCATAAGAATTGTATGCCAGACAGAAATGAGAATTATTAATGAGATATTGGGTGTGAAATGGTTAACTCCACCAAATACACTCTCCTCACTACCCAAAGTTCATTATAGATACATACCAACATTGTGGCCAGTTTTACTTGAAGTTTCAAATACTTTAGCATTTATTTCTATAAAAAAAAGTAGATTTTAACTTTGGTATTGATGAATACAGTAGAAATAGACTGAGCTTCAATACGTGCAACAATGTTTCATGTAGAATGACTACATACCGTCTGCATAATCTGTTGCAGAATGGTAATCGACTTGCCGTAGTTTTTTGTCATTTTGAACCATGTCATACTTGGTGCCACACAAATATATTCTGCAACCCTGCAAATAGTAAGATTTTATGTTGAGAACTTTAGGCTATCTACAGGTAGGAAGCATTAGTCATACAAAATAAAAAAATCACATATCCCTAGGTTAAGTGGTTTGCTCAAGAACTAAACACAACACTTTCCCCTTCTCCCATCCCCACTCCCCCAGGGTTACACTGACCACTCCCAGCAGGCTAACTGCAAGGCCACCTCATGACCATCACAAACCCTTAGTTTAAAATTGTATACGTAATGACTGATCTAAAGAATTGAGTGGGAGTTCAGACAAAGTATGTGTTGGGAAAATTGTCAGACCCCTATTCACTCTCACGTTTATTACATACATGCAACACACTTAATGTCATTCTCAAACAATTTCAAATGTTGTTTCCTTTATATCAAATCAGGATAGATAGCATTGATACAAAAGCAATCACCAAATGTATGCCAAATGTATTTTCAAAAATATAATAAAATGATACTTACGTCTTCATAAGTTTTTAGCTCATTCACCCAGTACTTTGCTCGTTCAAAACTAGACTTTTCTGTGAGATCTGCAAAGAAAAAAAAATTCAAAGCCTTCTAGTTAACTCAGGTATTTAGACACAGACTTAAGATTTACAACAAGCAATGAATAAAAGAAACTGCCCTCATCTTTCACCCTTTCACCCTAAGATCAGTGTCTATATCCTCCAAACTCTTCTCTATTCATTTCCTTTCCTTTGACAAGGAGAATTTGTTTAACAATCAGAGCTTTCTAAGTTGGTGATCATTTCCTTTATTCTTACTATCTCAATGAATGATTCAGCAGTATTTCTGTCAGGAAAATTAGATGCTGGTCACTCTCAGGGTCTAAATGGTTAAAAGATCTGATAGGTGCTTACCATAACATAACACTGCTGCCTTAGCTCCTCGATAGTAGATCCTACTCATAGCCTGATACCGCTCAGAACCAGCAGTATCCTGTAACAGCAAGGTAATTAATTAGTACAAATAATGCTGAAATTTGATCAACAAAATTGTAAATTTTCAAACCTCCTAAAACATCCTGATAATTATTAGCTTACAAAGTCCTGTTAGGTTTGTCACTACTCATCAGCTGCATCAAGCAGATGGAAACACAAAAATGAAAGGAAACTATTTTTACCAGACATCCTGAAGGAAATTTTGTCTAAGGAGTTTTATTTTTTCACATTAAAGCTACTCGCAAACATTTTTTCTTGTCATTAAGTTCTATTCTTTCTTATCTAAACAGCCAGATTCAAAGGTTACTTGTTAGTATCTCTGTTCTATTAAGGAAAAATTAACTACACATTAAGCAAATTAGGCTGACACATTGTATTAAATGGATATTTGTGAGAGTCCCAAAGATGTCTGCTCACATGGGTTTAATTGCTGATAATTATTCATTACACAATTAGCTGAATAACTAAACACACTTTGAATTATTATCCATTGGAAATCACTTTTTTAATACACAAACTAATAGATTCATGTTGCAGTGTACATGTTCAATAAACGATCGCAGACCCCCTGTGCCACTCTCTTGTTCTTAACACATTTTGCCATCATCTGTGATCTATTGGTGAACAGTTATATTGAAGAATAAATAAATAACTCACCCATATTCCTAAAGTAACACATTTATTCCCCACAGTGACTTTCTTGGCACCAAAAGCTGCTCCTATAGTCTGGTGCAAATAAAGAAAACAATTTGTTTTAATCAAGGTGTTTCTTCAAAATTGCTATGACAACAAACTTATCACAACTTTAATGAGATGAATAAATATATAACAAATGAATAAAAAACTAAATTGTGATCAGATTCTTCCACTGGAAGAAATGTTGCTAGCTACCAATGTGTAGCTCCATAGTTCAGCTGGTAGTAGCACCTAATTAGTATTTGGGAGGCTTGGGTTCAAATCCCATCAAAGTCTGAATTTTTTCAGGTCTCTTTTCTGCAATTGCTGAAATTGCAGCTCACCTACAAGGATTATTGCTTTACTTGATAACATGATAAACAAATGTCACATTATTTTTCTCAGAATTTAGGTCACCAACAATTGTCTGTTGTCAAGCTGTCAATTGAGGATCACAACATTGTGACTGTCAGACTGCTAGTCTTCACCAGCATATGCAGCATTCGATATTTGAACAAATCTTTGGTATCATGAACAAAAAATTGTTGCTGTGGAAAGTTCTGCTGTTAAAAATATTGTCACTGGTGAGACACACCTTGAATAAAATCTGTGATCTGACTCAATCTAACATCAAAACAAACCCTAACATATTTATCACTTGTGCAAACCAGTCACTTAATATGGTGAAAAAAAATGAGAGAGCAAGAAGAGAGGACTGAAGACTAACAAATAAAATGAATGCGACCAGATTGCAGACATTTTTATTACGATTCTCCCTGTTATTTAGTTTCAGCATATGTAATGCTAAAAATGTGATATATCAAAGTTCATGTACATGACCAAGATCATGCCAACAGCTTCATTTCTACCTCATCTTTCCACACTCCACAAATCTCCACAGTAAGATAACCCTGACAAATCTGACTACCCAGAAAACTACGGAAAGGAAAATAGACCTCTCGAATCATCTTTGTTATTAATTTAGTTCTAGAGAGCGAGCTCCCCTAACCAAGACAAAATGGAGACAACCGCTTTCTCTCTTTAAATATCCCTTCATTTGAACTAGGAGAGAATCGGTACGATTGTACAGTACAACTATCATAATTCTTGAGATAATTAATTTCACCCCACTATGAGTAACAGTCTGTATTATTTGTAGACAATAAAGAAAATGGCCAATGATAGTTTCTTAGGTCGGTCATGTTACGGTACAAATGCTTCACTTTCCTTCCTTAATTGTTAGGAGAATCTTACATTCTGATATGGAACGCTATCGTTGAATCTTTGGTGTAAATATCTTTCAACTAAGCTGGTTTTTCCACTGAATTCCTTTCCCAGAAGAACCACTTTCGCATCTACTTTGGATCCCATTTGACCTCGGGTATCTCAGCAACGCATGGCATAAACGGCCCGGTAGGTTTCTCTGATTTGTTGTTACAAGACAGAGAATAAAGTAGCACAGCCAAAGCCCAACTGTTATTTCACAAGCTGTAATTTCCGTCACATCATTGCTGAAATTAAATCCATTTCGCAGAAAATGAATGTGAGGAGACTGGAACTGATAAGGATAAGTACGCCTGATCGAATTTGTTCTCCATCGCACAAAGACTTGGCTCCGTCTCCACTGATCTCCATTCGTACGTATTATGCCAGTATTTTACGACATTCATACATTACCGTGGTCTACTTCGTGCATGATACAGTTATTATTTTGTTTTTTCATTATTCCAAATCCCTGTTCTCCGGCTAATTTCACGCAAATGGCCATAGTTCCGTACGACCCGTCATCAGTTTTCCTAACCCCTTTCCAAGCCAAAGAAAGAAGCTTCGAATTTGCAGGAAGAACTTTGAAAGTCTTCCAAAATTGGAATGAAGTTGGTGTTGCGGCGGTCGTTTGGGATGCAGCAATTGTCCTTGGTCGATATTTGGAGAAGAAAGCCCCTGAACTTCAAGGAAAGAAAGTAATTGAACTTGGAGCTGGGACTGGTGTTGCAGGAATTGTAGCAAGTTTCTTAGGGGGCAAAGTGACTATAACAGATCGTAAAATGGCTCTGAATGTAACGAGAATGAACGTCGAGGGAAACCTAGGCGAGGACCAGAGGACTGTTGAGATAAAAGAACTAGAATGGGGACAAAATGTGGCATCGTTTTCGCCACCTTTCGAATATATCTTAGGTGCAGACATAGTTTACATCGAAGAGACTTTTCCTGATCTTTTGAAAACTCTGCTAGACCTGTGTGACAGAAATTCTGTTGTCTTACTGTCATGTAAACTACGTTATGACAGAGATATGCGGTTTTTTAAACTTCTGTCAAAACACTTTCACCACGAAATCGTTTTGTATGATAAGGAATTAGACATTAATGTTTATAGAGCGAGAAAGATCAGCTGAACAGTTTTGTAACCTATAGGTCTCAACAAGAATATCAGAGAGTGGTATTGAAGGCTCAAATGGTTGTTTGTTGTTACAAATCATCACATTTCATGTCAAAGAGGCAGTCTGATCAAGCATGGTAACGCCCTTGACTAGTTCTTCATAGTGAAACAAGTTTTCATTACAAAGTGTTACATCGTATACATGAACATGTAGAAAAGTTCTTATAGGCAGTCACAAAAGCCTGATATTAAAAGACATTTTAAAGCTGTTTGGTATGAGTCAAAGAAAACAGTCAAAGACTTGTGTTTTTTCTGTTACTTCAACCCATGTCCAACTCTCTGAAGAAACACTTTGAAATTGTGTTTAATTAGTTTAGAAGTTGTTATTTGCACAGTAGGTGAAAAGCAGAAGGATTGGGGGCTCTTATTCAGCAAATGCAACTCGCCAAGTAAGCACATCCAGGACAAGTTTGACACCACTTCCTCTGAGCCATTTCCTGTTGTTTGAACTGTCACTGAAATGTGTCCAAGATCAATCCTGAGATATGTTATTAAAAGCAAGATGAGTTGTTATCCAAATGCCATGGGTAACATGGTTTTGTATACATGCAGCCAACCCAGATTCTATTTGGGTGACACCACAGCCTAGTGTTTAGATTGCTGGACTTCTTATTGAGAAGTCTGGGTTAGAGACTTGTTTGTATCATTGTGATGTGTTTTTGGGGAAGGAGCTTAACACTCACACTGCCTCTCTCACCCAGGAGTAAAAATAATGGGTGGCATGAAAATTCAACCCTTTACACCCTTAAATTAATATGCATATTTCCTTACTGATCTCCATACAATTCTCAAGATGCGAACAAGGAGAAGTTGTTTAACAATCTAGAACTTCTTTAGTTGATTATCATCTCTTACATTTTTGTAACCTTAATGTTTGATTCAGGGGTAATGTTGGTTACTCTTAGGGATCAGAGGATTAAAAGCAAAACTAGGATTTTCACGAGGGGGGGGGGGGGTTTCACAGTTGATTTTCAATGCACATTGCATGAAGTAGCTGCCCCTCATAGTGCATCAATGGCCTCACTTTTATGTAGCAAGAAGGACTGACAAATGGAGTACCTAAATGTAGTACTCAAAAATATTCATGTCTTATGGATCTTAGATCTAATGTAAAACTAAATTATAGTATTTTTATGCTACTGACTTGGAAAAGACATATCTTAAAAAGTGAGGGAGGAAAGAATCACTGGCTTCTCAAGTATAACCCAATCAGCTATGCCCATGAATGTTAAATTTTTTTTTTATTTTTTTAGCTTTTGCATTTCATGACATAAATTGTGTAGTAAGTTAAATCTTTGTGAAATAGTTACTGAGTAAGGATATGTTTAAAATTGAACAATGCAATGCAATTGAGGCTACAGAACCATTAATTTCTAACAAACATGTCAGTCAATTCCAAAAAATGATGCAGGACTTAGCCTGTCATCTTGTAATAAAACACACATCCAGCATACAGAATTTTGCTCGGCATGTTGGACAAGGAGAGGTACTAGCCAACCATCTTTCTGGCTCTTGTTGGTTCTGGCGACTGGCAAACCATTTTCCCATACAGTCTATACACCACATTGGCCTGCAATAACAGGGGACACATTCTCCTTCTCCGGACAATGCACACATCTTTTGTAGTTTAATGTTTGCTGGATGTTGCATGCAACCAATGCAAGGCTCTGGTTCCTTTGGGGTAAAACATAAAAGTACTTTGTCAGCTATAAATGAAATATCATGAAGAGGCATTTACTAAAAAAAGACTTGATCAATTAAAGTTAAAAATAATGTTATCACAGGAACAGTGTATACTTAATTACTGAATAAGAAGTTTACATCATGTAATTTTTTTTTTAAATCAGAGAGAAAGGTACATGTTAAGGACAGCTAAGCATTACCAACAACTGGTAGCTTGAGGCTTAGTAAACAAGTAAATTAAAACAGGTACCAGCCTGTTTTTTAGGTTACTGTGTTGTTTAAATTTCATAACAGCACAAAGAGACAAACTAATCCTTTTTGCTGAGAAAATGGATTACAACAACCACTGTCAATAAACAGACACTTTTTAGTTCATCAGGACATTTTCGAGACAAAACATAATCCTTGTTGATTGCTTAATACAACTGTCCAATAATTAATGCTTACAAGCTCAAATAAATGAGATTAAGGAGGGCAATTCACTCTTAACTTAATCAGCTTCATGCCTTGTCTTGCTTTGCGGGTTATTTAAGTGGGAGAGCACTAAATCATTTATATATGAGTGTTAATTGGGGTTATTGTTATGGTTTTTGAGATCATTTCTACTGATCTCACTGACATAAAGAGAGGACTTGAAGTTAAAATGCAGTTTCCAGCTGACCTCCTCCCCCTCTTGTAACTGGTACACTTCATTTTGGGACACCTGCTCCTTGAAGGCTTCAAGAAACTTATCACTGAGTGACTGATGTATCACAACATTTCTTGCATTCCTAATTGGGGCTTGTAGCTTCTCTCTCAGGTCACCATAATCTGTAGAATTGAGCCGGATCACAAAAGGTTTAACACCTGGAGTTATGCTGGACACCCTGATATTCAAGAACTGCACAGCAACATTACTCTCATGAGAAATGTCATGGTCCTCAGCATGAATGATTGACAGGTGAACATCAGGTTGATGTGCAATGTCAACTTTATAGGCTGAGCATTTCACAATCCAAGAATCTGTGATGTAAAGACTTGTTCCCCCAATGATTGATGAGAATTTAGTAATGCGACGGAACTCTATGTTCACACTAGATGCAACAGCTCGCCATGGAGTGCCATGTTTAAGTAAAAGCTTCACAAATGGATGGTTTGACCTGTGAAAAAAGAAACAGAAAGTTTTTAACATACATACATACATGCATAAATACTGATATACATTTTCTCACCATACTTAAAATATCACAAAAGTTTGAGAACATGGACTCAAGAAGGAAATTATTCATGTCCTATTTGGAACTTAAGGCTACTAGTAAGAGCTGATTTGTAAAAGCCATACATGTAAGAGGTAAGTTTCTAAGTAAATAAACCATGGTGCTGCATTGTTGGGGGGGTATTACAAAGTAATTTTCTCTATTAATTGAGTATATAACGTGAGTTGGCCACCATGGAGAGTTTCTAAAGGCAACATTTTAAGCATTAGTCCTTTGTCAGAGCAAATAAGTTAAGGCAAAATACATTTAGAGATAGCTGACACATCCAGGCCAAATTCTCAAGAAAGACAGAAATTTATGTTTTCCTTTGCCTTGCCATCCAGACTGCCTCAGGTTCCTTTTATTTTGTATAGCTCAACATTTTCATTCCACTTAATTCAATGAAAGTGGAATGTTCAAACAGTCTTGCTATTAAAAAAAGAAGGAGAATAAGGTTTCTCTTCATGCACAAGCTTACCATTTGTTCCAAGACCAATATCTAGCACAGATGACACCACCAAGAGCGATACCCAAGCAAACCAGTAGCAGTACATTTGCTGCACCACCTCCTCTGGCTGGATTGAATAAATGGAGCTTAGGTGAAACTAGTCCTAAGCCAATATAGTAACCTGAGGTAAGGCAAATAAAAAAAAACCTTTGCATCAGTATCAAATAGGTATAATATAATTAGTCCCAAAGTAATCTTTTGTTTAACAGGTAATTTGGTGTTAACAACTGAGTTGAAAACGTAAATTGGCCACTGTAAAGAGTTAAAAGTCTGATATTTCAAGCATTAGCCCTTCCACAAAGCCTTTCATCAGAGCGTAAACCCTTCGCTCTGATGTCAGCCTTTTAACTCTTTATGGTGGCCAATTTACGTTTTCAACTCAGTTGTTAACACCAGATTACCTGCTTTACTCTCCCACTGATGCAGCACCACAGTTTCTTTTCAAACTTACCCCCTTTATTCATTAATCTTTTGTTTACACCACAAAATTGTTTCACTTGTAGATTCTAGATCTGTTCAGTAATTGATCACAGATGATGTCAAAAAGTGGTAAGGACAAAATGGTGGCACACAAGGCACAGCCAAGTGTGTCACATACTGATATTCTTATCACATCTTGACGTCTTCTGTGATGTGTTACTTTACAGACCCACGGCAACATGGAATGTATTTGTTTTTTATGATAAAATGCAAAATGTTGTTGATAGAGACCTCTTACGTCACGCATGCATGACATCACGCCTCTGTCCTCGAATAGATCATAAGAAATAAGTAATTAAACCACGTGTAGAATTTATCTTAATTATATAATTTATTTTCTCGAAAAACTGCTTTTATAATGAAGAATGGGAAATCTTGACAAATTATCATCTTGTGTCTTGACCTAAAAGGTTTCCTAGTCCCTACGACAAATCCCCAAGTGTCATATATTTATCACGCCCAACAATTCAAAGAATATTCAAAGCAAATAAGAAGCTCAAAATTCAAGAAGCACTAGAAAAACTTCACCAAGTGGAAGAAACGAATGAAGGAGAAGTGTCGACGTGGTCCTCCTTAAATGATAACCAACGAAGTCCATATCTTCACTTCCTAAATAACTGGACAATATATTTTGTACAGTTAATCCAGCACTCACGAACTCCCTCGGAGGTGCTATGAAACACAGTGCCACAAGCACATAAGCAAGTGTAAACACAATAATAATTTGCTCCATTTTGGATTTACCACGTTAAGAACGAGAAGAAACTGGCACTAGAAAAAAAAATAGACCATGAGATATTCCGAAGAGTAACTGCTGATCTATGAAAGGCTCAGTTTCAAAATGGCGGCAACTTGAAGGCGTTCTAAACTTACCGAAACACATTAGGAGAAACATCGGGAATTACAGCAAATGGAGATTCTTCCGATACTTGAGAGGAATGACTCACCAAAATTAAACGTATGGTATGTTCTGTCGCCTGAAGGTGATGTCCCATGCGTGAGAGTAGGCCACACATGTAATTTCGTTTCTGAACCTCCTCGTGTGTTGGTTATTGGTGGCGCCAATCCCGATGGATCGTTCGCTGATGTGTATATATTGGATCTAGGTTTGTTTTAAAGTTTTTGAGTCCCTATATTCCTATGGAAAAACCTTCCTAAAATTATCCCCACGAGTCCGGATAATCGAGGTTCGACTGTATAATTGTATGTGTTTATTGATATTCAATAAGTCCTGAAAGGATTGCTCTTGGTAATAGTACCAGTTATTCTTCAACCTGGAGGGAAGTTATCTTTAGATTTAAAACAGTTTTTATAATCAACATATGGGAATAAAGACGTTCTATGTTGTTAAGCTATTGTTTCATTTTTGTAGATAAGTTTCAATGGAGTAAACCAGACTGGCCAGGTATTAGCAGTCGTTATGAACATTCAGCTTTTATTCCTGATTGTGATCAAAAGAAAGTTTATGTATTTGGTGGAGCTCAGCAAGCCACAAACTTGAATGACGTTCAAATTCTTGACCAAGGTACGTGGCACTCGTAATGATAATAAAGCTACTCTAAAATGTATTCATCACTCAACTAGAGCTTCGTCAAGATGGTATAATTTTGGCCAAGTTTGCTTTATTTTGTTTCCTTTATTATTTTTATTTTGTTTATCTATTCATACATAAGATTAAGTTTAGCACTCTAAAATTGAGCATCTACTGCTTCAAAAAAATTTTTAGCAATTGCAAAAGTGGTCTAAAGAAAAAATAAAACTCCCCCAAAATTATCACTTGATAATTAAAACTACCTTGTACCAGTGTGTGTATAACTCTGTTAAGTTCAAGGGTACACTGTGAATCAAACAGATTTTTTCATGTTTAAAGTTTTGTGGCTTCTACCTAAAGTTACCAATAATGACAAGTAGTAAGATTGAAACATAGTTGGAGACAGTAATGTTAAGAAAAGCAGTCAATAACTTAAAGATGTTAAAACATTATCAGTTGAATTAAGTTGCCTTTTTCACTACTTGGTAGAAAATGGCAAATGGGAAACAGCTGAAACACATGGAAATACACCATCACCAAGAACCTGCCACAGCATGGCATCTGTTGGCAGTAAGTTCTATGTGTTTGGTGGAGGATTAAGTGGTCCTGACCCTGTTCCTGATGTAGCAATACACGTTTTTAATGCTGGTGAGTTCAGGAACGACGTGGAAACATGTTAAGAAGCATTGTTTGGAATTTGTGCTTATAATTTCTATGTAAACAGCAACATCAAAGTATTTGAATCCAGGCTAGTTGTACTAATTTTTCAATATGATATGGTTTTGTGAATTACAACAAGTTTAACATATAGATTCTGTGTAGCTATGTGTCTGTTGAGTAATAGATAACAGAGGATGTCAGTATGTGGTAAGAACTAAAAAGTAGTACACGAGGTGCAGCCAAGTGTGTCATGAATGTTGTAAACCACATTTTGATGTCTTCTGTGATCTATTCTGAAACAGACACACAGCAACATGCAATCTATTTGTTTTATTTGGTAAAAAAGAAAAACATTGTCAATTGTTATGCCATCCATGTGTCCGTCCTCCCATAGATCATAAGTATGAACCAATCAAAATGCATATATAATATTAATCCTTTGAGCCCCAAGGATGACCAGCATCCAATTTCTCCTTACATTATCACCCCTGAATCAAACATTTAGGTCACAAGAATAGAGGAAATGATCATCGACTAAAGGCGTTTTTGATTGTTAAACAAATTCTCCTTATCAGCACCACAGGAGATGTATAGAGAACAGTATGGAGAAAATGCATTTGGATGTTAGGGTGTAAAGGGTTAGCAAAAAAATGGAGTGTCTGTTCAGTCACCTCCTTCACACCCCCTTTCCCATTTTTCATGAACTGAGCATCTTATAAGAAAGTGTTTTTACAACTGTTCCAACTCTACAATTGCAGGTACTGAATGCTGCAGAATTTACTAATGAGGAATTAATATATCTATATTTTTGTTAATTTTCAGAGGACAACAGTTGGAGTCAACCTGATGTAAGTGGAAATCCTCCATGTTCCAGACATGGTCACATATCAGTGGCAGTCGGAATTTATATCTATATTCATGGTGGAATGGCTGGCACTAATATCTTTGATGATCTCTATAAATTTGACACTGGTAAGAGGAAACCTATAATACTCCATCAGTGTTGGGGCTAAGTGCCAGCTGCTGGTGAAATTTTCCTGGAGAAAATGACCTTTGCTTTGTAATTTATCAATTTCATCATTCATCGAATGAGATCCTAAAAGAATCAAATGACAAGCCCAATAAACTATTAAAAATTAATTTTTAGGAATGAAATATGTTTTATTGGAAACTAAATGATGATGTAAACCAATGTACTGGTACTTTTGAAAATTACACTCATCTCTTTATATTCAGTGAATCACACTTGGAGTAAACTTCAACAAAAGGGTCATGCCCCATCCTCACGCACAGCACATGCTGCAACATCCATAGGAAAAAAAGTGTTTATCCATGGTGGAATGAGTGCAGTGGGAGCTGCATTGGATGATGTGTATTCTTTAGATACAGGTTGATAATTTTATTTTTTTAACTTGTCTATTGATGAATAGACACTTTCTCTACAGTTCATTTCATTATTTAGTGTACGAAACACATGAAGGCAGATGCCATTTGTGTTTTTGTGGTGCATGATGGTTTGAAAAGTTTTCAAATCACTAGAAGTGACCATAAATCACAAATACACAGGCAGTTTGTGGGATTATTTTGATTATTACATCCTCAATGAAAATCACTCTCTTATGCTACTCTGTACTTTCTTAGAGCACATTAGGAGAAACACTTTGCAACAATTTTGAAAATGCTTGAGCATGTTCCTAAAATTGTAGACAGTGATTGTGGTGCACAAACTAAGCAATGTGTTTTTCAAACTATTTTCAAAGTTGTACTGTTTTATCCATCTTTTAATACTGTACTCAAAATCTGTTATAAAACAATGCAGAAACCCATATTGTTGTCAATAACCTATTTGTACATCCATCATTGACCAATTAGATAGTAATGTTAATTAAAGTAAACAGCTATTTGCACAACTACTCTGAGATTCACTATCCACGGAAAGAAAATGGTCTCAGAAAACTGTATACTAATTTGTTGAGGGTATAATTGTTATGACCTCTAATAATTTAAATATATCTGAGGTAATGACTGATGTGCTTTTTTCTTTATTTAAGAAACCTTAAGATGGACACAGATATCAATTGACGGACCCAGTCCTGCACCACGACTTGATCACACTCTTTGTGCAGTGGAAATTCCTAAGCCATCAGGTACTCACAGCAATGGTGAATTTTCCATTAACCAATGTTATGACAGCATAATGCATAATAATGTCCTTGTTAAATAAAGAAAAGTGTGAGATGTTTCAAGCAAATGCTGGAGTAAAACAAAAAGTTAATACAGTCTTCTGTTATCTGTTGTTTTATATCAGGTGACAGTACAGCTGAAACTGAAGAAGAAAAGGATAGAGAGATATTACTGTTGGTGTTTGGTGGAATGGACACACAAGGAGAAATTTTCAATGACTGCTTAGTTTTAAGACCTGAAATTGTAAATAAAAACTGATAAATTTTTTTTTAAGGAGGCTTTGTTGTGTTCAAAGATCTGAGTGTGAATTGATCTGTGTAAAGTGGTAGTCATTACTGTTGTGTATTAGGGTTCATTATATACTACTATGGAGTAAAGTGTGCACAGACCAAGTGCTCTACACAACTGCTTTATTAGAATACCATGGAGTTTATTACACACAATGATATTGAGCATTATCACATGACTGTGGTCAAGGGTGGGCTAACCAATAGAATAAAGATTATGTAATAGCTAAAGTATTTATCCAAATAGGAACAAACACTACAATTACATTGTTCATTGTTTGTGTTACGTTTGGAAAATGGATGGGCAATAGATCACATTCTTGGCAAGACCTTCTTGAAAACTTTACCACTTACAGCAGGGTCACCGTTTGAACAAGCTAAGACAACATATGAACTTGGCCACCGCAATGCAAATTTCAGAGGGTTGACTCAAGTTAGCTTGGTCATAGTTAGTGATAAAAGGTGTCCTGCTAAGAGGTTGGTTGATAAAGGAAGGTAAACCACCCTACCAGAATTTAAAAAGCCAACGTTTTAGGAATTATCCTTGATGAAGGGCTGGTGCTCCCTAGATTTCATCTGTGGCTAGGCATCATTTCTTGAGTTTATAACTGTAGCTGCCAACCAAAGAATGACAAGTAATCTGGCAGAAGGCCAAGCTGCTACCCTCCACATTCATTCCCAGAAATTCTCCCAGGCAGCAGGTAAGCACATTTCTATTTTCCTATACAGGCATTTTTTTATACAGGCAGTAACTCCCCACAAGGACGGAGTCAGATTTGCTCAGTGTAACTGTTGTGGTTCAATTTTATCCTTGGTTCAAATGTGCCTTTCTTTTGTTTTTGGGTATTTTAATGTATGATAATGAGTTTGAAACAAAGTAAAATAAAATTTGAACCAAGGATAAATTGAACTACAACATAACGATGCAAAGCAATGGCTATCTAATTGTTAGTGGAGGCATTTCCACTCCCCTCATCATCCCCCGGCCGCACCCCCTTTTCTAATCTATAACCCAGATCCCCTCTTCTCGGTAAGAGGGACACAACATGTCAACATATATAGACACATTGTACCAGAAAATCAAAATGGCGGTAGAAGTGTGAGTTGTGTTTTCGAGTTGCGGATCATGGCTCCTGATCCCAGTGAATCATTCAGAGAGCTTCGGCCTGTCTGTATAAAACTTTCAAAGGAACCTTCACCACAAAACATCAAAGATTTGGAGGCTAAACTACGGATTTTAAATCCAGCGCACCTCACCCAACTGGTAGAGTACGTGTTGTTTCCTCTAAAACTTGCCTTGCAGAGCGGCAATGCTACAAACGAAGTACAAGAAACAGCTGTTGGATGCATCGAAACTCTCTTTAGACGTGCACGTGTTTGTCAGCTGAGAACATTTGAAGAAATGTTTAATTACATGTGCATGCTTCTAAGTTCAAGGGAAGGGGGTCCGGGTCACTTGGCTGGCATTCCCGAAGAACTTAAGCTGAATGTCGTCAAATGTCTCTCTTGCCTTCTCCAGAGCTCATCACTTGTGGTTAGAGGTGCATTTTATTCACCACGTCTGCTTCCAGTTCTTGGGCATTCAGTGAGCGTCTTGTTGGCATTGTCAGGAAACGAGAAAGCCAGAAATTTAAGAGTGTGTGCCCTTGAGTGCCTCAGTTATTTGGCTTGTTGCAGCGAAAACTTTGGTTGGCAGTCAGAGGTCGGAAGCGATCCTCAGCAGCAAGATGACAGGCTCGCATTACAAGATGCAATCAAGGATTCTGTAGCACAAGCATTTGCTTCATTTGTACCTGGAATTTCAACAGCTTTATGCCGAATTATTACAGGAGACACTAAACAAGGCCATGTGGTTATTACCCAGGCCATCTCTGTGTGGGGGGACGTTCTTTCTTTAGTGATGAATGATAAGCATTTGCCAATAAAACAATCAGAGGACAAAGACATCATTACACAACTTATGTCACTGACTACTGCAGATAAGTGTAATGAACCACAAGAAAACCCAAAACAAGAAATTTCAAGCTCAAATCCAGAAGGAAACGATAAACTGCAGCAGTTAAAAGTTGACAGAAGTTTAGAATGGTTTCGGGAGACAGGAAAAAAATTAAAAATTGTCATTGGAAGACTTAGTATCATTTCTGCACACTCTAACTGGAAAGTGCGACTTTCATTGGCAAAGTTCTGTGACAAACTTCTTGAAAACTGCAAGGACTCATTAGAAATTTGTGCATCCACTCTGGTGGATCTCTTGGTTGGATTGACTGAGGATGATTATTCACAAGTGGCATCACTCAGTAAAAAAGCCCTAAGTAAACTTTCTGAAAGACTTGGAAATGGTGAGGACTGTTATCTATGTTTTTAGGCTTTGCCAATTTTGGTACAGCTAGAAAACTTATTAGACTTCTTTCTGGTTGTGATTTAAACATGAAAAAGTGGGATCAATATCAGTATCTAGGCAACTGCCCACCTACCCCTCCCCTAACCCAACAACAGTCTATTAATAACAAGTTAGGGTTAATGTTGGGTTAGGAGAGGGGTAGGTGGGCAGTTGCTCAGATACTGATATTGATCCAAAAAGTGCAATAATAGTGCACTTACCATATGCTTTCATTTTTTGGTTCATGTTCAATGTGCTTTAATGATATCTTATCTTAAGTTAAACTAGGTTAAGCTGTATAGCTATCACGTGATAATTTGAGTTGATATAAATTTGGCCACAGGAGAAAGTTTCTAATTAAAAGCTTGTGTTTTATCCCTCACTCTGACTAAGGGCTTACACTTAAAACATCAGTTTTAGAAACTCTATATGATAACAAACATACAGTATCAATCAGATGATGAACCAAATTATCCCATATACCCACCACAGATTCAGCACCGCAGTTTCTAACCCCTTAGCCCAAAAAGTTATGCCTTCTATCGGTAATGGTTTGGTGTAAAATCAGGTATTATAAAGGAAAAGTGCCATCCATGACCAAAGTCAAATAAGTTGTTTTAATTGTTTATAAGCGTTGTTGAACAGATTTTGCAGACTATTTGCCTACTAGACACTGAGTCAAAATAGATCGACTTGTCTTTTTGTATTAATTTTTTTTTATTTCTTAATTTACTAGGTCCCAGCCCACTGAACTCCATGTTGGAGGAGAATCTTCATTTAGCATTGACATCACTCCCTAGACTCATGAGAACAGGGGATGATGCTCAAAAAATCCAAAGCCTAAACCTTGTTCTTGGTTATTTAAGCCTCCTTGGTAACAGGCTTTATAACTTACTAAATTCTTCATCTTATTTGAAGAGACTTTCCCTCGCCCTGATTCAGGTATGAGGAACTTTAACATTTTGATACATGTACAGTGTATTTGCAAAATGTGTACAATAGAATAGAAGTGTCATGAAAAAAAGTTTCTTTGATATAGACTTTATATTAACAATAAGTGATAAAGAGGAACAGCATTTTTACCTCTCTACAGTCTTCAGGTTCTAATGAAATCTGAAATTATAAAAAATTAGCAAAACTCAGGGGCAGATCCTGAAAATTGTGGTAGAGAGTGCTGAAAAAATTTTGTCTAGATTATAAGATCATTCCATGGGATTAGCCACAACATGTGCACATGATCAGGGTGACGCCATATTATAGTGCCTTGCAAAAAGAGTTCGGGATCATGAGCTGTAAATCTCCCCATGTGGGGATACTTCTCAGAGTTATGTGAGTCAAAGCTGTCAGTATTAGTGCATCCATAGATGACTCATGTTGGAGTACTAGTCTTTCACAACCACTTTTAAGAGAAAAACTGATCAGTACTAATAGCCAAGTTAGAATGAGGGTAGTTTTTATAGGATTTTTATATCACGAGGTTTGTTCATGACAATAATCTCAAGTCTTTAGAGTAGTCTTTTTTTTAATTCTTGTTTGATGAGGTAACAACACTTTTATTCCACATTTTCATAAGATAGAATAAATTTACAGCACAGTTAGTCCTTTCTTTAAAATAGCAGAGCTCTATGGAAACCCAAAAACAGGCCTTACTTTAAATTTCATCCTTCAAACTTTTACAGGTTCTAGAGTTTGATGTTGGTGATGTGGGAATTGTAGAAGAAAAAACACCATCTTTGTCAGAAACAGCAGTTCTACCATCAGAGACTGAAGGACAAAACCCAATGTCATACCCAGTAAACCTGTTCACAGCCAGCACATATCCAAAATACCACTTCAAGCATTTCACAGATGAAAAAGTTAAGGTGGCTGTGAACCAAATTTGTCGTACCATTGGTTACCATGGCAACCTTCCTCTTGTGGTTGATCACTTCCTTGACTTGTTTCATGAATCAAAGCTGTACCAGAAGCAAGCTGTTTATATTTTGAGTGAGATTGTAGTGGGTTCCTCACAAGGAGTAGCAGATAGTAACACAACTTTTTGTAATGGTAAGATGTAGAAAATTAGTTTTAAGCCAGGGTCTCCAATTAGTTTGAAAGCTGAAGGCAGTTAAGAAAGGTCATTTTGGACATCATGTTGATTTTTCTGATCACACACAAGACCATGAGCTATTTGGTTAAAATGTTCCAAGCACATGAACCTTTGAATCTTGGAATTTGAAACTTGCAATTGAGTTAAACCTCCGAACCTGTTTATGATAAATTATGCTTTAAGTTAAACTAAGAAATGGCCCACGTACAAATGTTTTTGATAGTATTTCAATAAATGTATAACTGTTCATTAGGAATTAATGTAGTTGGCACAGTGCAGCTGATGTTATCCTCAGCTTTATTCATGACAGGAAAGTTACTGCTTGACTAACGTGCGGCTTGAAACCAAGGTTTCAGTACTTTTGCTGACAATAATCTGTCAAGAAAGGTATACAAATATCGTGCATTAATTACTTTGTATAAGTTGATACACCTCAAAAATCCTGAAACACCCTACACTGGAAATTTTTCTTATCATACTTGTAAGTGCTTAAACCAACTTTTGGCTCTACAATTTTTTCCTAGAGGCCAATTGAAAAAATAGTTACTGGTATTTTGTTTTCCCTACAGGGACAGAAGATGACCACAAACTGTTGAAAAACCATAGCAAAAACTGTAAAGAGGTTCATGATACTGTAGAACTCCTAATTACTGAGTACATTTCAGACATTAACTGGAACTTGGTGACATCAAATCCTCAAGTAATGCCTTCACGTAAACCTGTCGCAGCAGACCCACATGATTTCCTCACTGTCAAGAAAGAGACCAAGTTACGAAAAGCACTACCTTTTGAAAATTTGAATAGCAATGTGCAACTCAGCTGTTTGTTGCTGGAAGCAATTGGAGTGTTTTCCACTGTTATTCCTTCGCAATTTGAGGCATCCTTAATGCAGGTTCTTTACCCCATCATGGCTAAGCTAGGAAGTGGCAGTGCCACTGTAAGTCGCTCAGCATATGAGACTCTGGTGAAGATTTGCCAGAGCTGTGAGTATGAATCAGTGGATGACCTGATTGCCAGAAATGCTGACTACCTAGTGAATGCTATATCTCTGGATTTCAAGTATGTTTTCATGAACTGTCAAGCTCCTTGTGTGCTAAGAGTGATGATCCAGTACAGTAACCCAGGAATTCTTTCCATTATCGAGGACACCCTCATGGATATATTTTCAGTTATTGATCTCTATCCTGATGAGTTACTGTACCTTTTGATGAAAGTGTTAAATGTCCTGGTTCTTATGATAAAGAAGTGGTTTCCAGCTCCAGTTAAAGAAGAAGTGATCAAGGAGCCTAAGGAAGAGGTACAAGTTGTACTCACAAACCTTTTTTTTCTACAAATCAACCAAGTTCATTACAAAATATAATTATTTATTTGTAGAAATATTTAAGACACATAATTATAGTATCAGTATATTAAGGGTTGATACTTGAATATTAGGGTATAAGAAAGCTTATAGTGATCCATATCTGAATTAACTACTGCTTGGAGTATTGCTACTTCTGCTGGGCAGTATGTTTGACATAGTCCATTATAGTTTGCCCCAAATGATTTTGTCAAAATTCCTAGACAGTGGGACAGGTTGGTCAAAACGATCCAACAACCGGCTCATTTCTCTGTTTATTCTGAAAAACTTGCCAGTTATTCCAAAGGCTTTTAGCTCAATTTTTAGCAGGGAATCATGATGTTGATGACCCTTAAGGCTGTCTACTTTGTAATTCACAGCCTGGTTACTCAAAATCTTTTTGACAGCCGTGGGGAGAATATAAGTTAACTGAAAGTGTCTCTGCCAGGACCACATGATACATAAAGAAGACTGGGGTTCATGCCAAATCTTTTATTTATTTATTTTTTTTCTTGACTGTGATGAGTTAGGCTTTCTTTACTTAATGCTTGCTGATTTTATTGCTGATCTGCATAGAAACCAAGCAGCATCTGTCAAGAGGGACAGAATTCTAAGTTTGACAAAGATGAAGATACTAACACATCACCAGACCAGATACGGCAATATTTCCTGGATTATCACAAAAGGAAGCAACAAGCCATGGGATATGTGGATGAAAAAGAACTTGAGGGAACAGAAGCAAAAGAATGGGAGGAAAATATTGAAGAGGAACAGTTTGAGGCAGATAAGAAACCTGAAGTGCCAAGACATGTTAAATATGTAACAATGGTGAGCCAGTTTGCAATGTATGGATGTAAATATTATTTTGTCTTAGAGGTGGGCTTTTTTCTGGAATCTAGTTAAAAGAGATGAAATTTTCAAACTAGTTTTCAAGGCTTAGAAAAAAGTAAAGTGAGAAAATAGAGACTAAATAATGAATCCTAGGCTGTTTTTATTATTTCTTTATGCACATTTACATTGTGTAACAGTCTCTTGATTACATCAAGTCTGAAACGCCACAACTTTACCCTTGAACCCCTAATGGAGACTAGCATCTAATTTCTCCTTGGCATGCAATATCACTCCTGGATCAAACATTAAGGTCACAAGGATAAAGGGAATGAAACCAATCAAAGAGGTTCTTGACTGGTAAACAAATTCTCCTTGTCACCACGTTAGGAAAGTTATAGAACAGTGTGGAGAATATGCATACTGATGTTAGGGTGCAAATGGTTAAAGTGGGTAAGTTTCTAAAGAAACTGTGGTGCTGCGTCAGTGGAAGGGTGTAACAAAGTAATTTAGTATTATCAGCTGGGTCAATAATACCAATGATACCAATAGAGTTTCAAAGCTGGCTTTTTTGAATGTTAGTCCTTTGTCAGAGCAGGCTAATACTGGATACATCAGCTTTGAAACTCCTAACAGTGGCCAATTTACACTTAGCAACTCTGTGTTTCTTTTGCAAAATAGTATTGATATTAATATATCAAGATGGTTGCACTTGGGTTTGGAAAGATGGTTTTATTGCAAATTGTATGAAAGAATCTTTAATTAATGAATTTTTCTAAGGAATCCAGTATAAACTGGATATGAAACCTGCATGGATTACTTTTTGTTATGTAGGTGCTGGAAAAGTGTGTACACTTCCTGTCATCAAAGTCTCCATGGCTACGTCTCTTAGTGCTGGATACAATTGACATTGGTGTCCAGGCCATTAGCCAGTCAGAAGACCAACTCCTTCCCATGATTCATCGCTTGTGGCCACCAATGGTTAAGAGATTCACAGATGATGAACAGGTAAATGAATGGAAGTTTTTTCTCATTATTTTATTTGTTTCTATTGATTGTCTCCAACTCCTTGTTTGCAATTTTGAAAATAGTGCCTCGTCAAAAAGACAAAAAATGTCATACCATAATATGACAATTTTTTTTTTCCTCTTTCCCTCGAGTACAGGCTTAATGGGTTAATATCATTATCTGAGCAACTGCGCACTTACCCCTCCCTGAACCCAACATTAACACAATTTTTTTATCGGTTGATTATCATTGGGTTAGGGGAAGGTTAGGTGCTCGGTTTCTCAGATACTGACATTGATCTGACTTTACTTACTTACTGACTATGTGACTAAATCTGAAAAGCTAATGACTGTGTGCCGTTAATAACATGCACAAATTACCATGATTAAACAAGAAGTAAACTGTTTCATTTGTCTCCCACCTAACATTGCATGTTCTTGTTGCAGGTGGTAACAATCAAGGCTGTTTCTGTCTTGTGCACCATGTGTGAAGCATCAGGAAGCTTTATGTACCGTCGAGTTATCAAGGACACCATTCCATCCATGATTGCTTTTCTTGATAAACAGGCGTCAGTGAGCCTAAAGGCTGGCCCAGTCTACTCTCAGTCTCAGTCATTCAAGCAGCAGCTGGCCATGTTGAAGAGCCTGGGTCGGTTGTGTAAACAGTTAGAAATTGGTGAAACAATGCTTTGTTCTGTAGTGTGGGTTTGTACCCAGTACCTCAGCTGCCGACAGCCCAAGCTACTTCAACAAGTATGTGATAAAAACACAGAGCATAACCATAAGCAGAGCACAAGCTTGTTCCTAGGCTATCATTCATTAAGCAAACCTTACCATATAGAATTATCTGTATAAGGTGTTTTCAAATTGCTTTAATTTCCTATGTAACTGGTTAAAAAAAGGGGGCCCTGAACAATAACCAATCACATCCATGTGGGAGGGTCACTTGACGACCAAACCCAGAGACTTGATTTGACATGCAATATGCAAATGTAGCAATAGACCTTGACAGTGAAGTGTTACAATACTTCAACATTGTAACAGTTTTGATACAATTTACTTGGTTACAAAAAGTGAATATTTCCTTTACAATATATCCTCCAAAAACTCATCCTACAGATGAGTGTTACAATACTTGAACATTGTAACAGTTCTGAAGCAATTTACTTGGTAACAAAAAATTGAATATTTCCTTTACAAGATATCCTCCCAAAACTCATCCTACAGATAACAATCAAAATCGCAGCTTTGTAATTTAGAAGACTTTTTAAAAGTTACAAATCTCTTATAAGTTGTTACCATTATTTGACTTAATATCTACTACGATTGTTCTTACAGGCGGCAGTTGATGCATTTAGAGACTTTACGTCAGTTGATCCAGACTTAATCTGGCTGAGTTTGAATGACCTGTACTGCCCAGGAGAGCTTACTCCACCACATGAAACATTCCAGCCAGTCCTACTGGCAGGAGTTCTTCCACAATGCAAAGAATATGCTGAGAATGTAAACTTGCTGTTATATCCAGCCTGTAAATAGCAACAGTATCGTGGACTTTTTGTTGAACTGGTCTTGAACTTGTTCTGACGAGCTATTGTTCTTGTTACAATTGTTGGAATTTGTAGATAGCATTTGTTGTTTTTTTTCCTTTCTGGAATGCCTCACAGAACTTGTCAAAACACTGAAATTGATTTTTTTGGAAACATTGTGACTTATTTCGTCATTTTTTTGTGTTAAGTTTTTTTAACGTTGGTTCACACGTGAAAATATCTGTGGGAGTTACGAAACGAGACATGATATAAACATTCGTAAGAATCATAGATAATAACTAAATACTTATATAGCGCCTTATATATGTGAATATGACGCAATGCGCTTTTAAATAACAAAATTCGTAAACCTTACAATTAAAACTAATTAATTAAAAATTTGTTGTGAGCAGATCTCGCGATCATCGAAATTGATATCTCTAAATAATCTACTTTTCACTTAAAAAACTAGTAATTAAATGCTTTAAAAAGCAAAATATCGATTACAATTGTTAATTATTCAACGAAGTGGAGGCGAATAGTACTTGCTAGTCCCTTCCAAACCAGCCAATCAGCGTGCGCGAAAAGCACTATTCACCTGTGTGGAATATATTAATAAAAGAGAATATAAAACAGTTTATAATCTCTTGACTAATATTATATATGATATATAGTAAAATATTTACAGGAAATGGGCAAGTACAAGAGATAATGATCCTTGTCAAGTAAATGTCCTAAAGAAATAATATAAATAGACATCGCGGTCGATATCACCGTGAACTTAAAACAAATATAAGATGCAATAAATTCATAAACGATGACTAAAATATATAAAAAATGCCAACATTTTGGATCAATTTAAAAGACTCAGCAATTTGATATTCGTAAGTCTGCATGTCGCATATCTGCGACAGTTCCCAACACAGAGATTAAAGAAGACTGCACAAAGACAAGTCAAGAGTCCCTGGCGTGCGTACGATCTTCAAACAAAGCCGGTTGGTTTCTTACCCGGCTATCGGAATAAACTAGTCAGTCTTGATTCATGTTAAAGCAAATCTTTTTGCAACATAATGTACACTTTTCTGACCAAGCTTGATCGGTCAAGATGGTTGGATATTGGCCTCGTTCTTTTTTTTTTTTTCTTTTTTGTTTTTGTTTGTTCTTATGGACCTCGACTTTGTCTCAGTTGATAAAAAAGCAGAAAAAACAAGACTTGGCCACTATCCAGCCATCTTGACCTCACTTTTAACGATTAACGCATATACACTGTTTCCCCGGCCATTGAAAATATCAGCAGTTTGCAAAGGACTCATGCGTCAACCATACACTGCAGTTCCTGCATGTTTACGTAAATATACCCTAAAAGTGAATTACTGTGCGGATGCTGCGAAAAAAAAACAAAACAAACAATCAATAGGGACGTGACATAAATTCAGCATCAATATATAATTCTTACGCCCAGTATCGTAAACAATTGATAGCGACTGTGTCAAATAGCTGTACAAACCTTTTGCCAGCATGCATGAGATCAAACGCCTCATTTATTTTGTCCAGCGGCATAGTGTGAGATATGATTTTATCCAGTTTCAATGTTCCAGCCATATATTTCTCTGAAAGCTGTGTAATACCATCCTTTCCTTTAAATCCTGGTCGAAAGCGTTTAAAAAAGGTCAGAATGTTATTTAATGAACGATAATTTGATGTGGTGTCAAATGGACAGGCCCCACAATTCAATGGTGCGTGTTGGGAGGCGAGCAGACAAATAGCACCATAATTGTCTCGTGTGTGATTTTCAAGGGTCAAAAAATAAAACACAACTTGAGAAAAACTAATTTAAAATCACAGACAGAACGAAGATAGCAGACGAAGATATTCACTTTTCATATTTCAGTTTTGCTCATCTGGGGAGTATATAATCAGTGGTAGGTTATAACAAAAAGTCAGGAGCTTCAGCTTAGAATGTGAAACCAATTTTGAAACGGTTAGAAATTGATAACCTTGGTATCGTCGCAGCAAACCTGAAGTATTCTGAAGAACTACACACAATTGCCATTTTTCGGTGGCGGGAAATCTACATGTTCTGAGTTTTGAGATTCATTCTACTCTCTACTTTTCTATGATCATAAATCTTACCTCCACAAAGCGTTCCTATGATGGTTCTTCCAAAAAAACAATCTCTCGGATTTATTTTAAGTTCTTCACCTTGAGGAGCTATTCCAACAAGCACAGTTGTACCAAGGATAGGGTGACTCGCTTCGAATGCAGCCCTCTACAGAAAGACAATGGAAAGACAAAAACTTCTGTCCAAGATAGATTTTTCAAAAAGAGTTTGGTTGCCATGCTGGCTTTTTCTCGCCTCGAAGAGGTAGTAGTAAATACTGCAAATTAAAGAAAGATGTGTAACACCTGCCACAATGATGGGTTAGAGAAAGTTATGAGTGCTCCGAGATGATTCGAGCCCCAGCCATTTCCGTTTTCATAGCCGAATGCTTTCTCAACCGTGCTGCTGAGAATTCCAGGCTATTAACTCGATTTATATCTAACACACGTTCGGTAATGCCGGTCAAAACAATGTTTGCCACAAGCATTGCGCAACAAAACGAAGTTTCTAAAAATGACGGAATCGAAGATAGTGTGACGGATTAAGGCGTCTACTGGAGTGGCGCAAGCGCTGACTCTAAAAATTTATTCAGCGGACAATGAGTTAAAAAAAACTAACGCGATTGAATTGATTTTAAGTCGACTTGCGGTCAGTTTACACCATAGACTTTCAAGCATTTGTCGACGAGTGCAATCAAGAGTTTCTATTTACCATTGTTTCAACGTTTCCAACACATTCAACTGAGTAATTCACTCCTCCTTCAGTCATTTCTTTCAAGACCTGCAAATTAAATTGATCATGACAACTTAGAAACGGAATGTCCAAGGAAAAACGTTGTTAAAGGTTACGTTTGACTTAACTGCCAAGCAGAGTTCTGTAAGTAGTAAGCGACTGAAGGGTAAAAGGCGACAAAGAATAAATACTTACGTGACATAAATTCAACATCAAAATATAGTTTTTACGCCTGTGGAAAAATTGGTCTACCTGTTGTATAGGCTTCTCATGATCTTTAGGGTTGACGCATTCAGTGCAACCAAGTTCTTTAGCTGCAAGGAAAAACGCTGAAATGATTTGTAATTGACAACAACTTATAGTAAAACTTCGTACGTACAAAAAGAAATTTTTTTGTAATTTTAGAGGAGTTAAATTTGAATATAACTCTTAAAGCAGCGGTAAAAAATCACTTATTTTCACATTTAATGCAAAAATTGTGAGTCCAATGTAAAATTGAAGTACACGCTATGTCGCTTACCTAGTTGGAATTTCTCCGGTTTAATATCAATACCAATAATTCTTGTGGCCCCAGCAGCCTTACACCCCATCACTGCGGAAAGTCCAACTCCACCCAGTCCCCACACAGCTGTGCTTGAGCCAGGCTCAACCTTACGAGGTAAAGAATAAAAAATGAGTTTTAAGTAGTTCACAGCAGGCGCAGAGAAGCAATAGTCCATGCAGTTGTAAGACTTGTAGGAGTTCCATCATCAAATTTCCCTTCTCCCCCTCCCCCTTCGTACTCCTGTCCACCTTACATTTGGATTTTGAGCGTCTCCGAGTTTGGGATTTTAGAGTTCAGGCCTAAGGGAAGGGGAGAGGAACGAACTCTCACTGGTTCCCAATCCTCAATGAACTTGCTCCTACTCGTTTTCTTGCGTTATTGTATATCAAACAGTAACATGGAAAAAATTGGAGCAGTTTTTGCCACCATCCTGCCAAAGCATAGGAAAAAAAACCTGTCGCAACGCGCAACTTGATCAGTTCTATTTTTAGCATACGAGACCGATTGAAAGAATTCACATCAGTCAATTTTCTTTGGGCTGGTCGGCCAAAGTGATTACCTTAGGTTGCGGTTTATAACACTCAATCGCAGAACGCTCTTAACACAAACCTTGGCTACATTGACAGCAGCACCGTATCCAGTTGGAACACAGCAACCTAAGAGACAAGCCTCTTTAAGAGGGACACTCTCAGCTATCTGTAAAAAAAAATTGCATACTGAACGAAAATACGGATTTGCACCACATTTGCACAGTGCAAATGTCAGCAAATCTGGTCCAAAGCCGTAGCAAATGTGGTGCAAATGGGGTAAATGCCACATTTGCTTTAGATTTACACGGGGGTGGCAAATCCTGGTTTTTTCGTGCCACAATATAAGTGGATAAATAAATAATCAATTGATTGACAGATTCTGGGCGTTTGCAAAAATCGCACGGCAAGAATTTATAAAATGACAGATAGCCATCGCCCAACGTGGGGGGCTCGAACCCAAGCCCTTGAGATTGAAAGTGTCACCCTCTACCGCCTGAATGTATGAAGTGAACTGTATAAAAGAGTTCATTTTCAAGAAAATCATTCAAACATAACCGCTAAAATATGTTCAGTTATGTATACTTTCATTAAATGAAGCACAATTACTACAGTACTATATTTCGTGTAAGTATGGAAAAGTTGTGCGCTTTGAAATATTTTATTATTTTTTTTTGTTTAGTTTGTTTTGTCTTTTTGTTTTTCACTGGAGCGAAAAATAAATTATCTTGTGATATTTCGTACTACCCTCAATAAAAAAAGAATATTATCATTATTTTTATTATTATCATAATTATTACTATCATTATCATTATAATTAAGTATACAAGGCTGTGAGTTAAGTTTTTGCAGGTACACACACCTTGGCAACAGCTATTTCTGGGAGGACAGCGTATTCGCTAAATGCGCCGACTCCCATAAGCTGACATAGCGGTTTCCCTCGGGACGTGGACCGTTTGGTACCATCAAGCATCTCACCTCTCATGCGCACTCCCCTGAAGCATTTTAAGCGGCAAATAATTGATTGGTAATTCAGTGAAGATTATAACAGCATCTAACATAATTACATCTTTCAGAAATTTTTGAAGGAAAACTTTCTATGAATTCAGGATAATTGCAAGGAATCGTTGTGAATTTCCGAAACAAAACTCTTGGAGATCAAATGAGCTTGAAACTCCGCTGCGGGCTGTTTATAAAATTGCCCAGCAACCTGGCCGCGTGCCTATGACGTCACACTGCACTTTTATCCAAATTCGCAAAAAGACAGTCTTGACGTAAATAACGCTTGTGTGCAATAACAAGAAGGGCCATCAAAAATGGCGGCACCATACACAAAATTCTAACGATTGGCCTGGGTTCAAAATGCAGAAGATAAAAAATTTTCCGCATACTTTAACCTTCAAGTCCTATGAGTGATCAAGACAGAATTTCTCCTTACAGTAACATTACAATATCGAGCAGAAATAGTAATTAGGGGATTATCAGTTGATCCAATACCGGATTCTCTAGGCTATCATCATAGGAATTGTACGGCTGACCGTAAGGAGAATTACTGAGAAGATCTTGCGAGCGAAAAGGTTAATCAAACAGCGTTGCTCTCCCCTCCACCCCCACTGATTGCAGCAATATGCCAACGCATATCGCAGCAATCGCATCTAAAAGGATCTCAATGGTCTGACGGGTTTTTATGGCTGACGGTTAACTTTCTTCTTTAGCGAATAAAATAAAAAAAATTAGGTTAGTTTTTTTTTTTACGACTAGCGGTTAAAATTTGTCATCTTTTTCCCTCTTAACGCCCAAATTTTTGGTCGTTTCACGGCTAACGGTTACCTCCCCATCGAGGTCATTACTTATAAATTGACTTTGGCAAAGATCGCAAACTTGCTCCCTGTGGGTGGGTTGGTAGAGTATGGTACCGCGAAATCGAAATACTTGTGCCTTGAATCCTCTTGGAGAACTCACATTTTTCTCTCTTCTATGGTATGGTATGGTATGGCGCCGTAAGAGAACACATCCAGCCCTTCGCGAAATTCTAACTACAATTACAAATTCATTTTTTTAATCGACTTCTTTCTCGACGTTGCCGTCCTGACTACTTAAGTTCCCTCGTAATACACAACAAATTTTTCTCCACAAAAAATTCTACCTGACACAAAAATTAGTCCTTGAGTTCTTGCAAAATGCACACTCCCCGCATTCAGCAAGGAGCAGCGGTATCACATGATCACCTGTGAACAAGAGAGGATATTTAGCATTTCAGGCAAATACACCCAAGGTTAATCAGTTTTGAAGGCAAAAAAAGGGACCATCGAAGCGCTTCAAATTGTCTCCTTTGCACAGGCAAATTTTTGTTTGACATTTTTCACGGGAACGCAAAAAGGTCGCAAGGCGGAAATCACTTGCGAAAATTGACGCTCTCCTCCTCAAGCCCTCGCACCTACTTCCGCTCGCCTGATTTAGTCAAAAGAATGACGTTTGTTTTGCAGTTTTAAATTTCTTTCCTAGATATTTCTTTTGTTTTGTAGTGTTCCACTGTAAACATGGTCGTGAGAAAACTAGGTACAAGAGTAGCGCATGTCGTACTCGTACTTTCAGGTGAGCACTTGCGGAAATCTTGAAACAATCAGAAATGATCAATTATCCACGAAACTGATGCTCAGGAAGCCTTCTGCAGACTGTCATTTAAAACCATTATTCAACTGGCTTCGTTTTCATTTCTCGATGGTACTCAAACCTGCATGTATATCGTTAGGTAGTCTCTCGAAAGCTACTTGATTGTAGTAACATTTAATATAAATGCAATACCAGGCTTCACTGATCTGACTCCTTCACCAATGCTTTCAATAATCCCACTTGCCTCGTGACCAAACACTCCTGGGAAAACGTCGTCTGAATGTCCCTTCCGGAAATTTTCGTCTGAGTGACATACACCAGCGGCCACGAGCTTGACGCGTACTTCTCCAACGTTAGGTGGGGCCACCTCGATGGTTTCTATGACAAGAGGTTTGTTGGCTTCCCAAGCTACAGCAGCGCGGCATGTAATAGGCTGTAAAAAGCACACAAATATAAACAATCAACAACTAATAGTAACTGAAATTATAGGAAAGTTCGCCTCGTTGTCGACATTTATTTTATAAAGCCACCCTCGGGTAGAAGCGAAATAGCTACTAATATGGAGGAAGACCCTTCTGATAGAGGTTGACGAAAATTTTCCCATCAAATGCCAAAAGTGAACCAGGAAATAGAAGTGATCAAACAAGCTAGTGACATTGAAGGACCTTATTATTAGGATCGGTAACAATAACTAACCAGGCAAGCAGAGTGTAGGCCTGTTCCGATTTTACTCGTAAAATACTGGAAAGTTACTGGAATACAGAAATGTTGTTAAAAAGTCGTTACCTAAATTTCAAAAGTTGCCACAAAATTTCTTGATATTTTCATATAATTGCCATTACGAAAGCCACTGAATACGTAACTTTCGGTTTTTCTTTCCGTATTTTGGTTTTCTTTCCCTTCTAGGAAAGTTTGAATGTAACTGTATGTAAGGCATACGGATTTTCAGTGATTTAGCAGCCATAGTACGAGAAAATTCCGACAAACAACCATGAATTGAGAAAGGTGAAGGCTTTGCCGTTCATTCATCAACCTGACCAAGTGGCGCGAAAGGCGATATCAAAGACACGTGAAAAGATATCGTATTTTTTCACGTGTGCTGTTACGGTTTTTCTCAGGGCTGGAAATCCTTGTAAAACGCCGTAGTTTATATGATAAAGTGTGTTTCCTAATTACATATTTAAATGTAAGTTTGAAGATGAAATGAACTAATTACTCATGTCTGATAGTAAAGGTGATAGTCACTGTGTTTGTATTAAAGATTTTTAATAGATTAAATTATTGCCAATCAAAATATCGTGGAGAGAAATTCTTTTGCAGTTTCTGTCTTCAATGTTTTACAACACAAGAAATACTTGATAAACATAAACTTGTTAGTACTTGGATTAACAGGAAACAAACCACTAACTTACCACCACCAAATAGTTTTGCTGAATTTAAGATTTAAAAAGTTGATTGCACCTTTTGTTATTTTTGCATATCTTGCGAGCATTATTATACTATGTGAAGAGCAACACAAAGATAAAACTATGGGCTATACATGTTAAATACAAAAACATAAAATATCTAGTTATGGATATAAAGATGTTTGTAAATATGATGAGAAATATGCAGAAATGTGTAAGAGTCAAGATTTACAGAGGAGAAAACGCTTTTAACAAATTTCTAGAGGCAATTCTTAAGGAACAAAAGCTTTTAACAAAAATTATGAAAAACAGAAAAAATATTGGAATTATAAAAACAGAAGAAGATAAACCACTTTATGAAAAGACAAATATTTGTCATATATGCTTAAAAGAAATCAATGATAAAAAAGATAAACTCAGGATCTTTGCCATTATACAGGATTGTATAGAGGTCTAGCACATGTTAATTGTAACTTCAATTACAAACTTACCAATAAAATACCTGTTGTTTTTTTTAAACTTGCGTGGTTATGATTGTCCTTTTATTATGCAAGAAATTGATAAGTTTAAAGATGTTGAAATAAATTTTTTACCATCCAATACTAAGAATTTACGAGTTTTACACTAGCAAGGAAATTGCTTTTGAAATGATAATTTACTGAAAGTTTTAATTTTATGGCAGGTTCTCGTCATAATTTAGTCAGTTAACACACAAGGGTAAAAACCCATATAAATATATGGATAGGTTTGAAAGAGTTAATGAAAAGAATTTACTTTAGAAAATGAAGATAACTTTCATAGCACATTGGGTGGAAAAATTATTACTGATGAAGAATTCAAATTTGCGCTAAATGTTTACTGAATGTAAATGTAAAAGTATTGGTGATTGTCATGATTCATATTTGAAAACCGACATTGAATTACTGGCAGATGTTTTTTAAGAATTTCAGGAGTACATGCTTTAAGATACCATAGTTTATGATTTTTGATCACGTTTACATGATATGTAGGAGGTGGCGGTGGCCTCATGGTTAGTGCGCTCGACTCCGGATCGGGTGGTTCGAGTTCGAGCCCTGGACGGGGTCATTGTGTTGTGTTCTTAGGCAAGACACTTTACTCTCACAGTGCTTCTCTTCACCCAGGTGTACAAATGGTTACCAGCAAATATGCTGGGGGTAACCCTGCAATGGACTAGCATCCCAGGGGGCAGAAGCAATACTCCTAGCCCGCTTCAAGCTAAGAAAACCGGAGTTAAGTATCAGCTCCATGGGCCACCAGGGTCCGTATAAAAGCTTACTTAACTTACATGATAGGTGGGGTGACCCGCCTAGGCGGGTTGCCCGGTCTGCCAGGTAGGGTAACCCTGCCAGCCGGGGTGACAATTTTCCATGTAAACGTGTCAAGATGGAGTAACCCGCCTAGCCGGGGTCGCGTTCATGGCAAAAAGCTCAAAAGCGAAACATGTATGTTTTAAAACTTTTGCACATTTCCCAGCCGTCTCATGGCAGAAATCGCCAGAAACCGCAATGGACACACAAGAAGTGTAAACTGTTCACATTTCGGAATATTTAACTTTGTAAATCGACCATATTTGGTTTCCCAAACTATTCCTTATAACGTATTAAGTCAACGGTTCCTCGAGAAACCAAACACCGCGTAACACAACGCCTGACGCTTTCATGAATAAATACATGTCTCCGAGAATTAATCTCTCGTCTTTTTCGACATATTAGCTTGGAACGCCTCTGCTCAAACTCCTTAATTGCAAGCGTAAAAACAACCTCAAGAAACCTCACCTCAGCACCCCGGGGTTGTAAGATTGTATATAAACGCGTTTTATTTTTCGACCACGGCTAGGCGGGTTACCTCACCTTCCTGGGGTCCCCCACCTCCATGTAAACAGGCCCTTATACGAGCCATTCAGGGAAGAGCTCAATAACCCACGTGAATACACAAGTCTTAAAATAGCGCACTTTTTGCGCGCACCGTGATCTGTGTGATTTTGGATCACAAATCCTAATCCGGATCCTCCCAAAGGAACGCACCCTAAAATTTACATCCAGTTGCGTATGTGTTACTTGTTGTATTCCTAATGATTACTATTAAAATAAGTTCAACTAACAATCATTTTAGGGACGTTTCTTGTCTAGTTAGTGTTCGGTCGGCTCGATTTACAATAACCTGAAGTAGATGTTAGACACTAAGTTACCAATTACATTGTTATAGTTTTCTTTCCTTCTTCTCGACCATGGGTCAAATAGATTCTTTTCTCTCTTAAGACGAGCACGGACCATAAAACAGTCTTTTTTTTTTAACAGTGCCGTTAAATATAGTCATTTCCTACTTATCACGGATATAAAGGGCTCATAGGTGATTTTTGTTTATAGACAGTATAAGCTCAGGTATGTGGGAAACTTGGAATCGAGCGCTTTCCACCAAAAGTATGTACCGCAAGTCATTGCTATGTGAATGATAATATGTGTGAACCTTTGATAAAAGGTTTTTACGACGTTCAAAGCCTAAAAATCATATTTGTTATTGTGCTTGGTCTGTTGTTTCTTTTTAACGAAAACAATGTTGTTAGCGCCAAAAGCCATTTAAATTAATTTATCAAGCACGACATGACAAAATCGGTATAAAGTGATAAATACTTACTATACAGCAAGTCGCTTTGAGGCGCTAATTAATCGTCCTAGCAGAGAAAAGTTCATGTGCGTGGAACGCGTTATCGGTACTGAGTAATTTATGTTATTGTTACTGTGTGCTCCACAATGAAATTCATTTGCTTCGCACACTGCAAAAGGGTTAATTCTACTTTATCAGTACTCTCGCGATTCCTTCCGTCAGCGATGGCAGAAACGAAAGCGCACAACGAAGTTTTTCACTATTTCCGCGATAACGAGTATCTCATCGATTTTTCGAAGATCAGAAAAGAAATTCACGTAAGAAAGTCCAACAATTCGTTCTGGAAGATGGTGCGCTGTTTTTCATAGGCCATAAAAACGGTCAGCTTAAAAGATGGGTTCACAGCCGAGACAAGCAGCAGCAGATCACTGAAAGCTTGTCACTTTGACAAACTCGCAGGGCACTTTGGCCGTGACATGACGAGAGAAAAGGTTTGCACCAGGCGGTGTGCGCACTCCGATTGCGTTGTATTATGGTAGCTTCATTTTCGAAATGATGGTGGAAGCAGCAGAAATCGGCAGATTTTGACTAAACATTCCGTAAAAGTTAGGCCGTTCCTTTTTCCTTTCACCATAGGTTAACGTAATTTGATTTATTCTGAATGTGTAAAAGTATTTTTTTTACGTATTTGTCGCGTGCTATATGGTTCTCAAGGACAAACGCAATCACAGTGACTGTTTTTTTGTATGTGATTTGAGACCAGATTTCGAGAAGTTCGAACGTGATGTACGTCGCAGTTTGGAGCCTTTTAAAGATTTGGATAGCCGCTTTGATCCCTCTTCAATAGCTTTGACCAAACGCTCTCGAACACTCTCCAACAGTACATGTGTTTCTCCTATTTTTTTTTTCGTTTTCAAGTATACTGTCTCTCCTGAAGAAATAACTCGAGAGATACGTTTCTCAAAACCTTATTCTAGGTATCCTCTATTCTTTAAGCATATTTGAACTCTGTACGTTTTTTATTAAATGCCGAGCGTGGCGAATTGGCCTTGGGAGGCGTAAGGCTTCTTTCGCGAATCCCGTATTTACGCCTTTAAGTGTAGGACATGAAAAATAGTTCGTGTATCAGAAGATCGCTGTCTCTTTGTAATGCGCTTGCATGTCAAGGGTCGATTCCTCGTAACTCGCGAATTTGATATTATTCACACAGCAATCGGCTGCGAGTGTAACTGCTGACTACATTGCGCACGGCGACACGCCGGGTAAGCCGGAAAGCAAAAGGCAGTAGATTTTTAAAAGGTGTTGATAGGCTTGGGCGACTCCTGCCATTCGCGTGCGGTTTTAAATCTTCTGACCTGAAAGCTGAATTTCGTTTGCGATGTGATAATAAGTGTCATTTTTAAGGTGACATTTCCCCAGCCGGATGAGA